TTGTAAAGAATTTCTGGATCGAACTCGAGGACTTGGTTTTCTGAGATTTTGGTTTTCCAGAAACCCTGGTTTCAACAGTTTTGATAGAACCATTTTATACAGCAGCCCAGGTCGGAAATTCTTTCAGCTGTTCAAATCCTTTTTCAAATTTGTTCTAGCTATTATGGGCACAATTCTATCGTAATAAACAAAAAAAGTGGTCCATATATGGACCACCGCCCGTCAAAGGGTTAAAAAACCAAACCAAATAAGTGAAAACACTTGAATTTTATCGATTTTTTTGCCTAAATACTGGATAATTTGTTGTTGAATTCCATAACAAGGTTCTCTCTCAAATTATTAAAGTGTTTTGAATATGTTTGACTATGGTGTATTCATCGAACGGTTTAACGTTGATTTATGTTAACCATTTCTGCTTTGCTTATTTGGGTTGAATTTTTTTATGGAAATTTTGAATTTTTTTACTATATATGCATCATATGGTAAACTAATGCTATTATTTTTACAAACCAACTTGATCCAGTTCTTTCTCTTGGACATTATTATATAGGGGTGTACACCTCCCAAAAATAAAATTTGTCCTTTCTCGCAGCGGAAATTAAAATCTGCCGGATGCTTTAAAAAATTTTTGCACCGCCCTCCCCCCTCTCCAAAATTGACTTCCTATTTACAGCCCTGTTCCTTTTCACATCCAGAGTACACATATCATCGAGAAGAAACGTGAATGTTTCACGTATATTCCGTATAACCTGGAGCCTGTTTCTCATTTGAAAAAAACTTAAGTTCTGCTTCAGTGAAACATATGACTGTAGTAAGAATTTTTTGCTAAGTGAGTTTTTCGAAAGGATTTTAACTTAAAGATTCTCTCGACCACCCTTAAGTTTTCACTTAATTTTTAAGTGAAGAATTATTTATAATTTGTAACTTCTTTATTTTACGTTTTTCGTAGTTAGATAGAAAATAATTTTAGAAGGATTTTGTTCAAAAAATTTCATGAGAATAATCTAAATTTGTTAAAATATGAGTGATTTTTATTGCATAGCCGCTGTTTAACTTAAGTTTTTCTCAGAAACGTAATTAAGGGAAACTTAAGTGCCCTTAAGTACTTAATTTTTCCCCTACCTTAAAAATCCACTTAAGTGGAATACTTAAGTTTTTTTGAGAAACAGACTGCTGTTGTTTTTTTTCGCATTACAGATTATACTGTGAAGAATAGAATAAGCAGGGAATCTTCGTTTTCTTCCTAGTCACTCAATAGTAAAAGCTCAAAACGACAGGAAATACTGAAGACATTCAGTAGAGAGGACTACTGAGTCAATTTTATTGATGCATATTCTGATCAATGAATTTTTTTTCTTTTTGATGATCAGGTGAGTCTGTCAAGTTTGGGGTTGTTTTCTATGTCTTTTCATGTAGAAAGTGGCAGTCATTTCCTACGTCTTTTCATGCAGAAAGTGGCTCCTGAAAGCTAGCGAGAAACAACCCAAGTTTGGCCTGTTTTTGTAGCGCTATGACTGATGGAACAGAAAATTTTGACAAATTTAGCTGGTAGATATACACATGTGCTAAACGGTGAAAGAACAAAATATCAAAGTGGATCTAAACTGCACATTTTTCATTAGAATAAAAGATTTTTCTATTAAAAATTAGTGAACTGTTTCCTCGAAATGCAAGTTTGAGCAGCATTCGATCCAAGACAAGCACGTTGGGCGTTTTTCTTTATTCTGAAGCAAAATAGTAAATGTAAATTTATAATAAATATTATAGTTTTCTTTTAATCCACAATACCTGACTGGACTTTCTGAATTGATCATCTGTTGTTCGTCTATATTTTCACGCAAAAAAACTCTTTCTAAAGTCCTCTTTCCCTAATATTAAAAGTCAACCTTATATCGGTACTTATGTTTATATTATAATTTGGCTTTTTTCTTTCTCAGTTAACATCTTGTTTTCTAACTGCTTATTTACGTGTTTATTTGTTTGACAGGGGTCATTGCATTATGCACCGTTGGTAATTTCTCACGTTTCATGAATAAATCTCATATTATCTTATTATATTTTAGTCTTTTAGATTTTATTATCATGACATCGGAAAAATGTCAACATTTTAGTTCGAATGAAATTCAATGTCAGAAGAACCTCTTTGGACTTTGTTTTCATTGTAATTTACGTATGTGTATGGATCATCTTCAACAACATATTGAAGAATTATCAACAATTCAAGAGAAATTTCACTTATTGATTGACAAAACAATTGAACGAAAAACATCTTTACTATCGATACAAGCACCTCGTCCTGTTGAACAAGATTTTCTTCGTTTACGTGAACAATTAGACAAATGGTATGAGCAAAAGTGTCAACAAATCACATCTCAAATGGTTCATGGTGCCAAATTTAATCGATTGAAAACTAAATATTTAAATGATGTTAATGCATTTTTATCGAGACAAAAAAATAAACAACAAGTAAATAAAGTTGATTTAGATGAAGCAACATTATATGGAGCAATATTGGATGCATCAATTGAACAATTATCGAGAATATCTAATAGAACATGTCCGACATTCGCAGAGATAATGAAAAATACTGATGTTGATACGGTTAATTTAAGTGGTACGTAGTATCCTCAATAAATGTTTATATTCTGTACAACTCTCTGTAATGTGATAATCATAGGCGCTCCGAAAACGAATCAGTTATTCAATTCTATTCCAAAAAACTTTTGACTCTGGTTTATCCCGAAATTTTTTTTAATCTGTAACTAAGACGAATTAATTATTTTGTTTCGTGCAAGTGACCAGTAGAACCTATTGTTTTGTTTTTGAGATAAAACAGAAAAAAAGTGCAAGGATGTTTTTGGCAGTAAAACTGCTTTTGGTATAGATATTTTTGTCGAATTCAATTTGAATTTTTTTTCAATTTCCTCTCTACTTTTCTGACCATGGAACACTGTTGATGTGGTGATACGGTTGGAGAGAAATAAATTGTGTCATTTTACCTAGAAATTAATGGCATTCCATCGAGAACGGTCAATAAAAGAGATAATTCAGATGAAAGTGGTATGTTAATAATATCTATTCATGTCTTGAATAAAATTTACAGTTGTTTGTCTATTTCTTATAGATGATAATGAGCCACTTATGCCTTTTTTTCATGTGAATCAAAATACTAATCATTTGTAAGTTACTAAAAGTACAAAATAGTCATTTGACTCATCTCATTGTCATTTTTCTTTTGTTTAGACAAGACATGGAGTCTGAAAGTGAGAGCAATCATACAAATCATGGTAATTCGAATTTTAGCTAAAACTCATTCCCTGATTCTTGAGCATATTAAATATTTCTTTCAGAGCTTATTATGTCACTTTTAATAACTAGAAAGTGAGAAAGACGAATATATTAAAATAAATTGCTCATATGAATAGTACAGTCATCTGTTATACCTGAAATACGAGAAAATCGAAGTTTTTTCTTCAACATTTAGAAAAAAACATTGTAGAATCGAATTTGAAGCGTATATAAATGTCTGTTCGCTGATGAGAACAGAATGACGACTTCTATTTTAAAGAATGATGTGAAATAGCAATAAGACAGTTTTATCTTTTCTTTTAGCTACTACAAGTTCTAGTCATAAACTTAGACGAAATGTTAAACGATCACTTCGATCTGCTGTTCGTATTCGTCGAAGTACGTTTTTGTACTATCGATTCTTTTTCATGGATTTTTGTTTATTCATTTATATTTTAGATACTACAAGCAATTTTAGAATCAAATGTGAACCACAATCATTGCCAGAAAACAATCACGATGTTGATGAGAATGGAAATGGTAAGTAACACTGTCTAAAATTGGTATGTAACTATTTATTTTTTATTCGTTTATTCTTCTAGATACCAGTATTCCAGAAAACACTACATTTAATCGTGAGAAATTTTTTGTATTCAGATTAAAAGATAGATAGTTAATTTATTTTTATTTCATTTAGGTATTGACGATGTAGATTATATTTTTAATAATGGAGCTACGACAGAAATGTTGTACGTATAGAAAGAGACACGCTAGTTAGAACTTTTAACGTCCTTCTAATTTTCTATATGTTTTTTAATCAGGTCTGAATTAGCTCGAATCGGTAATGATAAATGGATGAGGAATAATGAAGGTATGTATGAGAATATCTTTGAGTGTTATTGAGAACAATAATTTTCTTCTTCTAGATACACATGCTCAAGAACAAATCGAACAATCGTCAGATGTTGAACAAGAAGGTACAGAGTAAAACGCGACTTTTTAGTTGATGTGTGATAGGAATAAACATGTTTAATAATTTTATTTGAATTTAGATGGATACGGATTGGGTCATAGTTTTGATTTTACAAATGTACCCAATAAAAGAATGTAAGTATTTATCAAAAATTTACAATAGTACTTTAGCTTTACGATTTTTATTCCCATTTAGATTTCAACAAACACGAAGAGATCATGACGAAGATGAAAGTATATGTGATGGTAGGTAAATCTTTTGAGGCCGTATTGTCCGTTGTGAAAAAAATGAATTCAGTCAGTTTTTGAAATAAATTTTGTTTAAAAAGATACCGATTTTGGGCTATTTTCGCCAAATATTGAAAAATTTATACACTGTTCAAAATCAGTTCAAGTGACTCAAACACTTGATATTTTACATGCTGAAAAACGTATCTATGCAAAAAATAGTGTATTTTTATTGACATAATTTTCTGAAGAAAAACAACAAATTTCCAGAAGAGTCCGTATGCTCGATTAGCTACAATCCATTCGTTTTTGAGGTTATCTAAAATGCTGGAATTCCAGTTCTGATACCACGCCTAAACGATGAAATCAGGATCCTTTGGTACTTGTTTTGAAGAAGACGTTCTGGGCTATCTATTTATTCATAAAAAAAATCAATAGATTTTAAAAATTTTGTACTTTAACTTTTTGGAGTTTGATCTAGGATTCTAAAGCTCTTCTATAAAATCATCTTGGAAAACGACTGGCGAAAAACGGAGTTTTCGAGTTTCCTATCAAAAGTTACTTAAAAACTGATCGAATTCATTCTTTATCAAAATGGCGAAAAGTTATTCGATTAGAGAACGATAATATGACGTCCTTGACTTCGATATACGAACATGGTAAAATATATGCCCGATAAATTACTGGATAACTGGTGTCCTACATTTGGTCAAGTTATCCGTACAATGTTCGTTTAGCCAAGTCAAAGAAGTTATATTATGATGAATGGTATAAAAGTCTTACATTAAACGTCGAACGTTATTTCTGCATGTTCCCAGTGCGCTGAAGAATACCAAATAGATGAGAATGTAGCATGTGCACAAGTTTATCAACTTCCCTATTTTAGAAAGTTTCTCAGTAATTCTTTAAGAGTAAATAAAGCGCATTATAAGTCTTAGTTTTGGTAGAAAGCACTGTTTTGCACTGGAAGGATGGGACATCGAGAAAAATTCGTTATTCAGGGTTCTAAACATGTTAAACTAATGTGAGTTTGTAGAGAATTGCAGGCTATTCCAGATAATGTGCATAAGGAAGAAATTCGTTCAGTATCTGAAAATTATTAATTAAGTCTAATTAACTGTGTTTTTTTAAACGAATGAAAAACTTGCAAAGTTTCGATCGAAAAGTGGATCAAAACATAATTTAGTTCAGCTTGTAATTTCACAATAATGTTGACTTCAAGATAATAATTTGTTTTAGCTGTAGTTTTAGTTCAGACTTTTGTTTTCAATGAAAAATAGTTAACTCTTCAGCACATTAGCAACATACAGAGATAATACTTGATATTTAATGCAAGACTTTTGCACCACTTGTTAGTTTTCTACTGATAGATAAAGTAATCATATTTTCATTTTGTTTGCATCACTTTTTGTGCTTAAACTTTTATTTTGCAGATTCAGCTCAGGATTGTGAACAACAGTCGAATAGTGGAAATGAAGGAGGTAAACAACTATGACAATTCAAAATTTCTAAGTCCTTCAACTTCTGTTAGAATCTATATATCACAGGAACTGAGTTCCTCTAAGGTGAGAATCTTCAAAAGTAAAAAATACTTTTAGACTGGTAGGTCGTCCCTTGTAAAATTTTTTGATTATGCATTGATAGATGAACGACAAATTAAGTTAAAATTCCTTAATCCTAGAACTTTTGATTAAGAGAGAAACTGACCTTCATCGTTGCAAACTGTCATATTTTACTAATATCAAGTAAGATTTTACTAAAATCATGAGTAATTTTTTCTTATTTTCAGATTTAATGGGAACTCATGATGCCAATGATACAGACGATATTGGGGCTGATCAAGAGAATAAAGTAGTGGTAAGGGAAATATTTATTTCATACAGTGCGTAAACTATTCTAGCAGTATGATCGAGATTTTATCCGTACTCTATTAGTTGTTTATCTCATCAATCTATCTCGGGATCTTTAAATCTAGTTCTATTCGTTCAGAACAGGCGTCTGTTCAGTTTGTACTGAAGGTTAGAATTAGAAATTATGAAATATCAGAGATATTTTATTCTTCCCCTATGAACATTGAAAGTTTGACAAATCTCGAAAATAATTTGCCAATCTATTCGTAAGATAATTTATCTGATGTGATGGTGGGATGTTTTCTTGATAGAACTTATGTTGATACATCCAAAGAACTGAATAGGTGTTTTTATCCTGCATTCATCGATTTGTTCATTTAACAAATATTCGTGTATGAGTTGTATGGTAATGAACAAATTTTAGTACTTGCTATAAAGAGACTATAAGAGTCTAAATTTTTTTGTAACTTGGTCTTTGAACACTAATGAGCTGAAAATCATATGATAAAGAGAGAAAACGGACTAAACATATAGTAGTATGATGAACTAACTCAAAAACTAACGGAAGTTTTTAAAGGATTTTTGCATTAGAATGTTCGATCTTGTATCGTATTCATTAGCAAGTTTTCCAACCCAAATCAGTTAAGAAACCTCGAATATACGCCAGAATTTCAGAAAGTGTCTTTTCTTTTATCTTAAACTACTTCAGATCTGAAATAATTACTTAGTAATTTGTACGAATAAAATTGTTCTGAGTGAGTTGTATAACGATACGTAGGCAGTTCAAAAATGAATCATGGATATTTGAGTGTTTTTGTTTCCATTAGCTATGAGAGGTTGAGTTATGCGAATGCGATGCATTGCAGCGCAGAAGCATTTGTTTCATAAGAGCTTCGATAAAAAACTGAAGCTTTCATAAATTGTGCACAGTAAGATTGCACTCTAGTTCAATTTGCATAATAATAATGCTATATTTTAATTAAAAGTGGTAATCATATATTTATTTTAGACACAATCTTTACGATCGTATGAATGCTATGAATGTCCGTTGAAATCATCGAAAACAGTATTTGGTTTGAGTTCAAAACACAAACTTCGAAATATTCCATGCAAAAAATATCTTTCACCACCATTTGCTCTATACGATCATTTGCAACATCATCATGATCTAAATCATCATGCCGCTTCGAAGATCATTCAATTATTAATTAATATTGCGAAAAATGGCTTAATATTAGATTCTAATATTGATCTATTCTCACATGAAACAATACAAATTAATCGTCAAAATCCAACACGATTTAAAACAAATTGTCCTCTAACACAATACGGGGTTTATGGTGTTCTCAAACAACATCAGATCAGTCTATGTACAGGTAGACATGGTCTTCTTCGTGATCATCTTTGTCGATATCATAATTTTGCTCCCGTATGTGCACGAAAATTCGTTAAGGCCGTAATGAATAAAATAAATAAAACAGAACAATTATTTGATCCAAATGAAGTGATTATTGATCAGAATTTAGAGATAACATGTCCATTTGATGTCAATTATAGTGGATTACAAACGTTTAATATTAATCATCCTGTAACAAATACACCATGCTCAAAAAAACTGAAAAAATTTAATTTACAACAACATTTACGACAACATCATCACTTAACATTAGATGAAACACGACGAATAATGCGTGAACACCGTAATGATCACAATTTAAATATAACAAAAAATGAACATGATGTTAGTAATAAATTAAAACGATCAAAAGTGAGTCTGTTTGTATGTTGTATAGTGTGTCTATGGAGGAATAAGATTGATGAAATGAAATATTTTTATGAATGAATTTTTGACACTGATCACAAATCTGATATATTTATGACTAGTAGATTTCAATTATCGTTTTGTATAAACCAGACCGTCGAGATCAATCGAAAAATTTTAAGTGAAGCGATTTGAATGCTGAGAGATTTTTTGAGCAGTTGGAGTCACATGTGTTGAGAAGTTTTCATACTAAATGAACAAGTTGACGCATGAGTATAAGATTTTTGAGTTTTTAATTGCTGTAGAATTTTGAATATACGTTGGATTAAAAAATAAAAAATATAGTTTTTTGACAATGTATGAAAAATTTTTCAAAGATGTAAATATCAATATTTTTTCATTTGAAAATTTCTGATGAAATTTGAAAAACTTGATTTCTACAGAATAATTCTAGGAAAAACGAGCAATCATAACGGACATCAGATTTGTAATGACCATCTAATATAATTTGTTTAATATCGAACAATAACGTATGAGAATATGTTTCACATGCATTTTCTTTTCTTTCATTTTAGACATTAAAACGTCTTCAATCGAATCAACCGACATATTAACCGTTTTCGAACTTGATGTTAATCTAATTTTATTTAGGAAATACGTATTGTTTTATGTATTTGTTACATGTATGAGTGTGTGTGTTGTTTTTTTCTATGAAAAAATAACTTAATGTTTATATTTCATTTTTCTCATCGTTTTTTCTACTTTGTTCAAATATTCAAGACAAAAATGTACGACCATTAGCTATTTTTTCTGTTATTTTATCTGAATGTCAATAAATGGTGAAGTTGTACGTCAGACAACATTCTACATTTTATATTAATTAACAATATTTTAAATATTAAAGTCTCTTTCTACATAAAAAAGAAAATAATACCCTAATGCTGATCGTTTTGCTAGTAATTATGTTACTTACCGTAAAATTTCGAAATATTTAAATTAAATCAGGAATGTCTAAGTTTTTATCGTGTCATGGACAATAGCTTTAACAGGATCATTTATCTGACAATTGAAAAAAGTCTTACTGTGAATTTTGTAAAATAATTTTCTAACCTGAAATTTTTTGTAAACTGCACCAGTTACGAAGATTGTTCTCTCTCATAGATCTTTGTTAGGGTAGTTTTCTATCTCTTGATTATGTGTATATGCTACCGTCATAAAACTAAATCAGAATTATACGGATTTTTTTCTTGCTTTCATTATTTTACTCGATCGAGTCTGCCACACACCATTCTATTACAAAATGAGTGAATTACAATAACTTTCCACCGTTACTGACTGTTCTTCCAGATCATGAGAAAAAGCTCACTTTTTACCAAACAAATTAAATAGAAGCGGGACAAGTTTTAACTAAATTTGTAGCAGAATTTTTGAGCTATTCAAATGTGCACTTGGAATTAAAATTAAGTGAAATTACACCGGGGAAATACTAAAAATATTGCATTGATAGACACTTTTCGTTTTTTTCTGTGCACTAACATAAAAGTTGATTTATTCCAGTAACTGTGTAGGTTATAACTCAGTAAAAACTATCCAGACTACTTCAGAATGTCAGGAAATACTCTGTTTTATCTGCACCGTACTGTAAAGCTCAATACATGTTGAAAAAATTAACAGAAAATACTTTGGTTTCTAGAAAGGTGTCCCAGAAACCTTCGAAAATAAGAGAATATTTTTTATTGATTTTTCGTACAGAATCAGAATAAGCGGATAAAATAGAGTATTTTCCTGACATTCTGAAGTAGTTTGGATAGGTTTTTTACTGAGTTATAAATTTTTTGATTTTTGACGAAAATAATCAAAAATGGATTATTGCATCTAGTATAGGTTTTCACTCGGTTCTTGTATTTTGTTCTGAAACCTAACATTGCCACTAGATTCAGCATCGTCGACAACCTATGTTTTCATTAGTTTCTGACAGTCTCAAACGTAACGGTAGAGGAGTACTAAGACTTCTGGAGAAACGTCCATAGCTCCCAAACCATGGATTTCCAAGATGTCGCGTAGATCTAATTTTGTAGAGGACACTTCGGAGTATATATCTATGAAAAATAATGCATAGATTTTTATGTTCGTTTTCAGAGAATCGAACTGGCTTTTCACAGATCTCCCGAAAAACTGGTCGTTGAAATTCTTGTCAAATTCGTTTTAGCTTATGAAAGCAGAGCGTCAGGTCTTGGCTAGCGAATGATTAAAACCGTAAGTTTCTATATTTTATTTCTTTTGAGTTATTCAAAAAACAACCAGCGGCGTTGTATTTTGGAACGGATAGTCGTATTATTCACTAGCATTAATATGCTGCATTCTAAAATTTTTGTGTAACAGCATTTTATTCATAATCCATTCTATAGATCACATAGAGTATAGTCGATAGATATAGTGATTTTCTTCTACTAAATAGAAGAGCTATCTTCGAAAAAGTTAAACTTATTTTTAAACGGATTCAGTAGCAATAAACTATAATTAACGTATTCATCATTTCATTCATTCCACAATAAATCTATTAGAGCGTATAATTTTTATTTGATGCTTCTGAATTTCTTTCGCATGAGCATATTTAGGATGGTCTCTAAAACACGTCTGAACGATGAAAATTTCGAAAATCAAACTATTATATTTCTGTTACTTCACCAGAAATCGATCTTAACGTTTCTCTGAGTATACAAAAATATATAATTGATTACACTCACGAGGGTACATATCCAAGTGTCTAGGGTTTGATTCAGATATATTGGTCCTGGTAGAGTCCGATACGTTGATTCCAAGTATGATAATTCAGTTGCCACCGTTACATCGTGGTTCAATTAAAGTCTATGTTTTTCTTCTATAGTCGCACTCGATAAACACTGAATTGTTAGCCTGTCACAGTTTTTGGTAGAAAAACTGAGATTGCTCGTACTATATACAGTTTTATAGAGACGACTTCAACTCTTTTGCTACAATATGATATATTCGGACTTAGTTTTCTCACTTATTGTGTTAGACGAAAATAAATTTTATCAAACATGGATTTTTTGCCTCAGAAGATGATAAATATTTCAAATTTCTTCAAACACAACGAACACATATCATACTGTTATACAGTAAAAAGACACATGTTCGATAAAATTTTAGATTAGATGTTAGAATTCGATTAGATCATATAATATGTTGTAAGAATGTGGTGGTAGCAGGGTTTCCGATTATTCTTAGGGATGGGAGGGGCTAAAAACTTTGCTTCGCAGAAAGTGACTGACGAAAAAAAGTTTTCGAAATTTTCTGGCAGAAAGTTGCTGGTGGAAAAACGTCATAAAAAATTCAAAAATTTTTTAGGGAGGGGCCACTTAGTAGAGCCTGTATTATAAAGATACATCTAAGATTTGTACATGTGTTTAAAACGTAGTGATGCCTAAGTGTGTCAAGAATATTTGTCCATAATTTTTTCAATTGTGGCCGCATATCAGATAAACCATGTGTAATAAATAAATAGATAAAGTGTGCTGCAATCCAACCAACACTCAGCGATGGAAATACAGAAAATTCATACAGTCTATTTTTTACTTCCTTCACCACATCCGTACGTGAATAATTTATTTCCCTTTAGTGCTGTTTCAACCACATAATCTCCATCTTTTTGTGCACAATTACAACGGGATTTTGGACACGTTTGACAATAACCGGTTTGATTTGCTGATAATGATCGGGCACATGATGGCGCATAACGAGAAAATAGACTTGAACGAAAACGGTCTATTGGTTCGTGAAATAAAGGTTGTAATTGAGTACATCGTGACGGTAAACAATATTTAGAATCAACGCGTTCACGATCTTCAACGTTGTAGAACAATTGTTCACGTTTATTTAGATAGAGACTATCATCGTGCTCAAAATTTGGTATTCCGCTTAGATAAGCATTCTAAACAAAGAAATTTGTTTGTAACCTGAGCTTTACTATATACTGAAAAATAATTACGTTTGAAATTATTTTTCGATTAACCACTTCTCGTCGCCATGGTTCAATGTAACGTAATGGAACTATTGGATGAGCACTTGAGAAGCGTGGTATCCTAAAAGAAAGAAAAAGTTAACATTTTCTAGAAAAGAAAAACTGTCAGTCATATTACTATAAGTTCCTTGACTTGTTTTCTAGTTAATACACAGTATTTAAAATATTGTTCAGATTCTCGTGTTAAAGCAGCGATATACAATGGAGGAAATTTGAATAAAACTTATGGAACTATAGTAAATAGACTCAACTTTCGAAAAATCAAGTTTTATTTGAAGTAGACTATAACAAGAAGACAGGTGAAACTATAATAGATCATACAAACCGTATCACTGAGCAATCTTTTTCCATGATTAAATTTGATGAATGATAAAATTGGTCGCTTCATTGGAATATGCAGTCTGTATACATGCAGACACTTACCTAATGGTTGCTAGGGGAACCCCTCTAAAAGAGAATTTCAACTTCTTTAATTAATCTAAAATTAAGAGTAGATCAATTGGCAACTTCGAGACTTAACAACAAAAAATGCACTTACGGTATACACTGCAAAATTCAGTTGACGCGCTGATTAGATTTTCAATATATATTCTTCGTCTACAAAGAATATATGGTCAAGTATCCGATTATTTTTATGTCGACAATCGTAACTGTCAATGTGTTTTCGGATAATGTTGGAAGAAAAATTATCAAACACTTATCTTCATCATTCATTATTTTTTCTCTTCTAGAAAAGACATGATTCACATGTTACAGCATCAAACCAGGCATGGACGAGTCCAAATCCGGACTGGAAGATTTTTTGGCGAATTCGGACTTGAGTTTTTGTATTTCGAGTCCGATCTATTCAACTTTTAACACAAATGAGCAGAGAAAAATGAAAAGCGAAATAACAACACTTACTGTTTCACGTGAAACTGAAAATTTTGTTCGGGAGACAGACATGGAATGTACCCTTAAAAATCAAATATCTATCCAGGGCTCAGCAAATTAAAATATAAGCCACCTTCATCAAAAATATAGGATGTGAACTTTTTATACGAAATAGTACACGAGCAAATCATAGCATGACATACGTTACTGTTCATACATTATTCTAGTGCTACAAGGGTTCAAGTGGAATAAAGGAGCTTATTTTTATGATTTCCTGATTCCTGATCATTGTTAGAAATAGCAGGTTAACATTATAGAGTATAAAGACGCTATTTTCGATTCGGATGAGAAGACTAGCTGATAAATAGAGTCAATGATTATTGTAAATGATCAAAACATGCTCAACTCAAGCTTTTTGCACTAAAAGGGAACTTGACATTTAATCGTGCATTAATCTGTATTATTACTCTGGTCGTTCGTTGCTTGCATTTTTATTTCAGTTGGCTGATTTGGTTAATATTTAGAATATCATCATCATCTCCGACTTGAAAAAGAAACAAAAATCGATTTATTAATGAAGGAATTAATTTTAATCATGATTGGGACTATCAATCATTATTTCTTACTTCAATTGTTCCTTTTAGTGATCTATAAATAATGAGCTATTGAGTAGAAATTAGTCTAGATTAAATGAGATGATTTCACTATAGACGTGCATTATTGAGACCAGCTCTGAGAGTGATCTACTGTCCTTTATCTTTTACCAGTTTAATTATTCTTCTATCTTGTGTAGCAATACAACAACAACTAATTTAGAGAAGTTACATAGGACTCAATATAGTGCTGGGTGTGCAGTTTGTTGTGCCATAAGGCGTATCTCAAGTGAAGTAGTTCTGAAAGATATTCGCTAGCATTCAATTGGAGATACACTGCAGCGTTTGATCAAGTTTCATAAGATTATTATATGAAAAACACCTGGATGATGAGAGCTCATATCAAAGTCTGACGACGTTAGTAGTTCTTGTCTAAGAAGTGCTGTTCAACGAAGTATTTCAACAAGCCGAATAAACTTAAAAGTAATTAATGATTCGTTTATTTATTGAATTACCGCTAGAGAATATAATTCATTCTCTTTCAAGATAAAAGTTATTTTATCAATAAATTTTATTTTTATAAATATAAATAAATTTATATTGATTGAATTGATTTTATCAACAAACGAGTTTGAAGAAAAAAAGAAGAAAATAATATTTCAGATAGTAATAATCGAGATGGTGTTAAGTAGTAAAACCTTCTCACATTTTTCACAATAGCCATCTTCTCATCGTTTTCTTGGTCATACATCCTTTCTTCATCACACCACTTCTATTGTACCATTTTTATTAGCACCAGAATCACCATTTGTATCACTATCCGCTTGATCTTTATTTTGTGCATTATTTTTATCTTGATATGGACCATTATGTGTTTGGTATCTACACTTGTTACAGTATCCAGCTTGTTTATACTAGTGGCATTCTTCTTTGACATGGTCGGTTCCATTGCAGATTCAAGCAGTATTTTGGTACAAAAATCAAGAGTAAATTTAACTTCCAATAAACCATTGGAAAGAGCACTCTTTATGCTACAAAAATCATCATTTAACACGTTTTCTCATTTCTCTTCTGATGAAAAAAACTAATAGAAAATAGAAAATGATGTTGTTGCTTTATAGCGATGTTGCAAGAACTTTTTCAGAGGTGTTTGGTTTTTGACTTTCCCTCTTTCTCAGATTCGTTCTGAAAAAATATGTCTGATACAAAACTTGTAGTTCAGACTTTGCTCTTATCAACAAAAAAAAATTTGATTGGTTTAGAAGTCGGCAATACGGCCTAACAGAGTTTGACATTATTACCATTACTTTTGCACCATCTGTTAATTGATAGAGATATGGTATATTTAATACAATTAAATCACAAACTGATATCGCTACTATTAATTTAAACTTGTTGCTATAATACCTTATCTGGATCACTGCACATAATCACGCTTCTCTACCTTGTACAATCTGATTAATAAAAGTAGCATGATGATTATAACGTTGTTCTTTTTTCATTCTCATATTCGTTAATCCTTTTCTTTTCTAAGAATACATTTTTTTCCTTGTTTATTTGTTATGGTGGTTAGGGATTCGATTTATCACATTCTTTTTTCTATATCATCGTATTCATAAATACATCAAGAAGAAAATTATTGAATCAACCAAAATGTGCGTACGAATTGATCAAATTTGTATAAAAAAAAAGAGGCTTTCACCAATCCTAATATTTTTCTATGCCGTAAATCTTCAGCAAAACTGCAGTTCAATAAATCCTTTTACTAATTTGGATGCATAAAGACAGTCATACTTCGGGATGGCATTGATCAAAATTACATTTTTTTTACAAATAAACGATAGTCATTCTTGCTCATGAGAGATCAGAAAGATGGATTATGTAAACGTAAACAGAACGCAAAAAGAAAAGTATTTGCATCGGTAAACCATGTTTCTTTGACTTAGGACTAAAATAAGTATTATCTGAGTAGTTCTCACTTTTTGCATTGATGTTAAAGCCAGCTAGATCTCACTATACGCTAGTCTTGTAGCCTATATCGAGTTACGTGAGAATCTGAATTCGCACTCTATTAGAGTCAGTGCCTTCTTATCCTATGTGTTAATTGTACTATAGCACAGAGGCCCGACTGACTTAGGGGCCCGATCGAACGGCTTAAGCCTTGCATTTTTGTTATTATTAAAAAAAATACAAATTGATGTGTTGAAAACGTTAATGATCAGCACAGCGGCCACAAATTTCTTAAAACGGCTCTGATTAGAGTTATTTAATAGTGGCAGCTCTGTGATCATACGTTTCGAAGTACGCTGTTTTTATTTTACAGACATCTTACTATACATTTGCGTACACCTACGTTACAAACATCTCATTTCAACTTCTTTTCAAAATATTATCTTGTTTTTCTTCACTCTACACTTGGGCATTGACACTACTGGAAATCTTCTTGTTGCATGTTTTATTTTCAACTTAAAATGTGTTTGTGTTAACGCTTTCGAAAAAGTCTGATGAGCCGTTTTCGACATACAATCAAAATATTAAATTTTAAATCGTGACAATGTTTTCTTGAAATGAAAAGCAATCCCAACAAGTGTCTTGTTCTCAAGCGAATTATGAATGAGGCTGGTAATATAAATAGAGCATTAGTTATACTTATATTCCTTGGAAAATTAAATTGCTTATTAACGAAAGAATTCGTTTATTAAAGAAATTCTGGTAAAAATGAACTGTTTATTTTTTCGTACGATCATATGGGATCCTGATGGGATCCTGCCGTTATAATGCATTGCTACTGTACTATTGACTCCGATTAGAATTACAGAATACATGGACAGTTTTATTTTATATGAAGAATTTTCTTGAAAGAAACGGATGTTTGGAAGAAAAAAACTTAGGCAATAGTTGCTAAAGAAATTTGCTGTTCTATTTGAGAGCGAGTTTAATAAACCCGTTGCCAGATGAAGATGAAAAATATGAAATAACTAAGAAGTAATTATATTTAGTGTGCCTATTTAATGACAATGCCATATGCAAACAAGGAATATATGCACACTTGAAGCCATAATAGTAGTGATGGGCCGTTAAATGAATAATCGTTAGCGTAAACTCGTTAGTGATTCATTCCTTGAAAAAATCAACGTAAAATAACTTTTATTCAAACGGCACTAAGACAACAAAAAATAGAACAAATGATAAGTCTGCATCACAGAACGTAGACGGAGATATTTTCTATGATATAAACACAAAGATTGCTCTTTTTATGAGAATTTTCACTTTTGCTGCTCGAAATTATCCAGCTCTTTTTTTTTGCGGCTTTGTCAGTTCATAGTTTGAACTTGCCATCATATGATATAAAACATTATCACAGATATTATCGCCAACGCTAGGCTATGATCATTAAGGAAGGAGAAAAACAATGTGTAACAACAACTGTTCGTACCTTTTTCATTTTTTTTCTTTCTTTTCGTTGCAACCTCGCTTGTTTCGCTATATTCGAATCTCTTACCCCCCATCACTCCATAATAGATGTAGTTTAAAAAATAAGTTTCAAGTTTCTCTTATCAAATTGATATTTTAAAGAAATCTTATTAAAATCTGATATGAATAAATAAAAGTTGTATCTTATTTGTATTGTAAAAGCAAAAAATTTTATCAGTATTTCCTACGTAAGTGATTAAATTCTTTACCATTTTCAACTTCACTGCTAAAAATATATTTTCGTGATCGAACGGTATATCTTAGCGTGTTCCGATGTTAGCAAATAAAACTAATAAAATCAATTTTAACAAAAACGATCTTCTTTCCTCGAATTTTGTTATAAAATTGGCTTTATAGATTTATACAGAACTAGTTAAGTGAAAGTTAGTTCAACTTTATGGCAAAACAGAATCTCTGAATTCCCACTTTCTGTCTCAAATTGCTGATTACTCATTTTAAGGAATTGATCATTAAAATTGTTTGTTTTTATGTCAACAGACATTTTGTATTTGTTCAAAGATTTTTTTTCTTGTTTAGTCATCGTTTTGCAAAAAGTGAGTCTTATGCTCTAGAGAACTACGTAACGTAACGCAGAGACATTCTAAAAACGGAAGATAGCTTTCTGGGTACTGAATGTGGACTATTTCACGTTTTAGTTTTAAACAACCGTCCAGATTGGGCGGGATGAGTTTCACACGTGGAACAAAAATGTGTCTTGGACTTCGAACTTTTTCATTGTTAATAGTTGTCCGGCGCCATATTTTTTGATTTGTAGACAGAATTGAGAAATGAATCTGTGTACACTGTAAAAAATAGTCGTAGATTAATAAACTATCAAAAAGGGTTAATCGAGATCAATAAACCCTTTTTGATAGTTTATTAATCTACGACTATTTTTTACAGTATACATATTTTCTAATTGGTGAACTTCTGTTTCCACATGAATACATCTAATAAAAAGTATACTAAGTGATTACCAGTTCTTTAAAACATAGAAGACACACCAAAGAATGAAAGCACTTCAACTTAGAATCTACGAGTAGAAATGATCTTTATACGACGTTAAAAGACCGAGAAATGTTTTATATACAACACGATCATCGTTGTCTTGTATGTCCCGTTATATCTCATTCCATCTCTGACCTACACGGTTTAAATATCATGTTGAAAGAAAGAAATATAAATTGAGAGTAGTCAATAACGCGAGAGTCATGTACTTGGCCAAAAAAGCTTCATTAGGGAAGGTATATACTTTAGGTATTACATCATTCAACAAAACCTGACGTATTATTTGACTGTTTTAAGAGTATTCCAGTTGAAGCGTGCAAGATCGTACTCCAAAGAACTTTTTTCTTCAATAAAATTAGCCATACCTGCCACTTATCCTGTCCGAAAATATAGTTCTGATACTTATTGAATTGATAATTATAACAGATTTTGGGACTCTGGATCATTTATTAATCGAATCATTCAAGCGTGTAACTATAAAAAGCGATTGTATATTCAGTATTGACTAATGAGGCAGGTATATATTAAAAAGAACGCATCACCATTTACGACATAGGTAAATATTGTTTGATGGTATGTATGTAGATTGACTTTTCTTGCTACGTTATTCAAAACCTAGAAAAATGTCAACATATTATACCCCTTGATTTAGAGAAACTCTTAGTAGAATTTTCATCTTTTGTAGAGAATTATTTGTACTTTAAGTACATATTCTCTTGGAAGGATCATTTTCAATTCCAGCAAAAGTCCCAAATCATATATCCTTACTAGGAAAGATATAGATATTACACGTGCAATTGTGAAGTGAAAAAAATATTTCTAAATTAACTTTTTTTCCCAGTATAAAAATATTCATGGCATATTCAAAATAAAAGAACGAAATCGGGAGAAATAGAGGGATACATTGTGAGAAAAGAGATGCGTTTTAGGCGCCTTAGAAGCAAACTCATTTTTAATCAATAAGAAGATATTTCCATCTAAAACACGCGTCACGATGCCTTGCGAAGGCGCCTGGATTCCAATTTTTGGCCCCCATAGTGTCTTCGTGGATATTTAGTCAAAGCACCTTGGATGCATTTTCCTATGTATATCAGATGAATTTTTGATGCATAAAGTAGGGCACTCTGATGTCCATAAAGCATCTAGGAGACATCAAATACTTTGGAATATCTTATAAAAAACATATATAGCAAAAACATTTACTTTCGAAAATGAATTCATAGATAAGATAGACGTTTCACTACACGTCTAATGAAAATATTAACACAGTGAATTCTATTTTAGATTGTCTCCTCACATGAATTCTTCTGCTGGTAACCATTGCCGACATCAATATACATGTCAGCAAAAAAAGATTAGAAAAATATTAACAGATCGATTGCATTTGCAGTATTGAACTGTTATCAGCATCAGTGCCATTTGTGATTGTCGGCACAAATGATACCGTTCAAATCTAACACATAATAATAAAACAAAGGAAAGATTGGTTTGCTGATAAATGATTAAATACTGAGATTTAACTGCCAGCGTTAAATGCTTGCTCATTTCTGATATATTGATTGTTCCAAAATGGCATGCCAATAGACAGTTATCGATCGATGTAAATTTCAGTTTTAAGCACCTACAGTAAATGCCTGCATTGCGACCATGATTCACGGTAACCGTGAATGGACAGTTTGAGTTTAATAAAACTCAATTTTTTCGTCATATAGTTAACAAGCAATGTATGAGTTATTAAATGACAATTTTGATTGGCCTAGCTCGAGTCAAAATTTGTCAGCTCATTTGAGTGAAAACTTAATTCTTTAAAGAAAAGGCTAGTTTACTTTTGGAAACAATCTTTCTTTTTGTTGTGTAGAAAAAAGTATAAAATGCCATGAACACTCTTAATACATCGTTAAAAATAATTGAAAGATAAAAAATCTTCTTCTAAAATGATGTCAATTTACACTTTCAGTACCAAAACCTCGAGAAATTTGACATCTGCTGATACTTTAAACGTTTTAGATTAAAGTTTTGAGTGAAACTGATGATAGTTGAAAACAAAATGGGATATGAGAAATTCTTTCACACTAAACACAGCATATGTCTACAACATGATAGATATACAGGATTTTTATGAAATTTATAACCGCTTGCATGGTGTTAATGCTCGAAGTACCGCTGCAATATTCTGTGAGTTTATATCTGCATCTTTCAATATAAGAAAAAAGAATTTTTCAATAGTAGTTACAAATATCATCTAGGTTTATGGGGTAATATCCTAAGTAAAAATCCTACGATGAATGCAGCGTCTCTTATTGACAACATATTTATGATAAATATGTTGTCAATAAGAAACGCTGTATTCATCTAAATATATTGTCAATAAGAAACGCTGCATTCATCGTACCATAAATAGTATTTGACTATTGAGTCTTCAAGCTGTCTCATTCAAGCAAAAAACATTGACAAATCAGTTTCGGTATTTGATTAATAAATATATTTTTGCAAAGAAACAAAATTGGAATAGGACTAAAAAATACTAAATCGAGCTAAATACAGCCAAATCTTGTTTGGATATATTGATTTAAACATTGTGTATTGAACAGTATTATGACCTTTTCTGTAAGATCGAACATTTTATATATTTTTTATCATCAGAAGGGAAAAGATATCAACATGTCTACTAACAAGGTGCTTTCATTTTATCATATTTTTGGAGTGAGGAAAACCTGATGATTTCTGATCAAGTTCTTTGATTAATTCATCCATTTGATTTGAACGAATCTAACATAATTAAATAAACAAGAAACAGATTAAAAATAGTGTGCCCAAGAGTATGATGGTGGCCAAAGGAACAGTGCAGATAGGACACTTTTCTGAAAAAAGTTATCTCACCATTTCTCTTGCTAGAGATGTCTTGACTAGATACCAGAATAATTCTGTGTCTAACAGCAATTTCGATGCATTTTCATTGCCTTGAATGTGACTACATGATTTATCCGTGGCTGATGGGCGACTAGGTGTCTTGACCGTGGCTAGTGCATTGTGCGTTTCTGATGTATTAGGGTGTCTATCAAATGCACCTAAGTTACTTTTTTTGGGAGAAAGCAGCGATCCAGAGGTGTTTTTTTGAAGACATTAAGGCGACTAACGGTAAGAGGATGAGAAAATGCACTTGACGTACCTTCAAAACGTACTGTGGATGTATTTTGAAGCCAGCCGAGTGATTTATCAAGACACTTTTTTTTGACAGTGTACATATAAATTGATATCCTATTAGAATGTGAATTTATTTTGTTCTATCTAATGGTCATAACTAAAAAAGTGAGAACTAAGAGAGATATCAACTAGTATCTTTAGATGAATCAACATTTGCTAAGCCAAAGCATATATCTAAACGTAATAAACATTGACAAGTGGTAGCCTACAATGATTAAGATAAATTTATTGGACGTGGAATTCGATAGATAATGAACTTACGTATAAAAAAACGATTACGTTGTTGTATTTTACTACTAGTTATTCAAATATTATTCATTAGTTATTTACATCTGACAGCCATGAATACTAAACAGCAAACGGATCAACGTCTTACACAAGTATTGCGTTCAGTATGTTCACAAGTAAAGAAAAATATTACAACCATCTGTGATTCAGATAACACGACGGCGATCCCTGTGTTATTTTCACAATGGTGTAAAAACCAGGTGAATTTCTGCTCGTCGTCAGTAATTGTTTATGATCAGTTATTTGCATTAACACGATCGGTTATACTAAACTCAAAATTGGTTATCGGAAGTCAAGGTGGTGAAGATATTCAAGATGTTTTAAATCAATCAGAAGATGTTGAATTTTATCAATTTAAACAGGGATTTATCCAGGTAATGATTGTCTCCAGTATAGATGTCCACTGTCCACTATATAAGACTTTCCTTGAACTTTTGAAATTGCAATGGATTTCAACTTGTTATTTGAAAGTAGAATAGGGTTGAATATGACACGCAGAAGAATCGCGTGTATATCACATTTACAGATAGCATATCTCATCAATCTTCAAGAAACAAGGTTGCCATCCCAAATCTTTCTATATAAGTTTATATATTACTCAATGTGTAACGATGATTTAACGTGTGCCATCCATATGACCCAGTGAAATTAGAACTTTCAACCATCACATTCCCGTTGGAGATTCGGTTTCAAACTTTAAGTACATGGACTTAATTCTGAGTGAAATGTAAATTTTTCATTGTGCTACATAAGTTATCTAAACTACGATATTTTCTTCAGACAAGTTTTCAATAACGTTTTGGATTTTGGTCATAAAGCAAACAATATCACAAGATGGAAAATAATTGGTAATCTACGTTGTTATTCATTTTTCGAGGTGACATAAGCGTGCTCGGATACTATGTAGAGGCTGCTAGAAAACACGCGTCTCCAACAAAACTGTAGTGGTGGAAAGTTTCAGTTTCGCTGGATTAAGTAGACGACACGTTAAGCGATCATTCCGCATTGAGTAATATATAGACTTATACTGCAAGGATGTAAGATGGAAACTTTGTTTCTTGAAGATTAACGAGGTACACTATCTTCACTTCGTCATCTCTCTTTAATTAACGTTATTCAACGAAACATTCGACCCTATTGTACATCTAAATGAACAGAAATAAAAAACTTTATCGGAAATTTTTCACCGCATATAATTTTTAATTCTTCTGTACTGCTATCAGGCATGGGCGAGTCTGAGTCCATTTCGAGTCCGGTAATCTTTTAGATTCTTTTTTGATGACGGTGGTTTATATTTTAATTTGCTGAGCCCTGGATAGATATTTGATTTTTCGAAAATAAGGGTACGTTCCATGTCCATTTGCTGCTGATCTACCGCTATCTGGTAGATCAGCAGCTTGTTTGTATACCACAGCTTGATTGTTAAATCGAAAGATGCATAAAGAATAGAATAAATAACTTATAAGAAACGTTTTTCCCTTCGAGTACAGTTGGTTGTCTTCGTAATTATTTTCACAGAAAAATTGAAGGAGAAAATTGAAAATCAGTGTTCCATTTCAGTGCCCTCAACTCAAACAATATAAAATATTGCGTATTTTATACCACATTATGAACAATTCATAGTGTAAAGTATAGGAATACTATGCTCATTAGTCATTGTATGGTTCAAAATGAATTAGCCGTGCGCCTTTCTTCAAAGTTAATTGTTATAAAAACTAGATAGGTTTTTTTCAGTAAAAACTAGTTATAAATACAATATATAATAAATTATAGCTAGATCATCTTTTCAATTTTTTATACGTTTTGTACTGAGATTTTTCATGTTAACCATATGTATCAAAGTTTTATCATGGTTAATAGCAGAGAATTTTATTTCTATTGATAGTGAATATAAAAAAAGTGTTAGAAGGTTTATCAAGAACAATAGTTCTTCTAATCTTTTCATCCCGTTCCAACAATAATCCTGCTACTATCTATCTATCATATCAAAATATTATGATCGCAGATATTTTTAAATAACTTTTGATAATAAATATGAATAGAGACCTGGAAGTTTTCTCCTTCTATATAAGAGAATACGATACGTCTTTTCACACATAGAAAAGTTCATAAATCTTTTTCGAAGTAGAAATGTCAAAAGAATGTGTGATTGTCTGTGAGAATCTTTAATAACTAGAACATAAGTTAACAGTAAGCTTCGTGACAGTGTTTGATTTCATTAAAAAATCCCAAGAACTGATGAAAATCTATTTTATGTGAAATAGCCCGTTTTAGAGTATTTTCATTCGAATCTGAAAAATAGGTAACTCCAGTTTAAAACACTGTAAGACTCATGATCGTGAAAACAATCTATCTGTACTTTTGAAACTTGCCAGAAAATTCTCTACGAGAACTTTAGACACCTCTAAACCTTTACCTATAAAAGGCAGTGCGAAAGTTAAGAACTAAGATTTTTTTCGAAATGCTTTACAATAGCTATTTACTGATAGGTTTTTGTTTTGCTTTGCTTAGATTCCTTGTTCAAACGATAGTTTATTGAGACAATTGCCTGTATTTGGTCCTCGTAATGATTTTACCGAATGGGCATTGTCCATTGATACCTACAATTCACAGCAGACAGCTGATAAGTGTAACACGACTCAGGTGTTAGGTCATGTGATCGATGACTTCACCATAGCTGTAAGACGTCGTGATTACGCTAACTGGTACCATACTATTACCGATTTGTACACTGTCTATATTCTTTGTCGATTTTTCAATCGTGATCCGAAGACGGCGCATATTCTTTTCGTTGATGGTCATCCAAAAGGCAATCTAGATAGTCTATGGTCAACATTGTTTCATTCGTACCAACGTGCCGGTCAATATCGAGCATCAAATCGATCAATGATATTCTACCAAGAACTGTTATGGTCCTATCAACAAGAACTGTCACATTTGGATATATCACGCGCTCCATATAAAGATGAGGTTATCTATTTAGACGATTTTCGCCAGCATGTATTTACCAGTTTTAATATTAAGTTAACGAACGATTCGGCAGCAGTCAACTGTGATTTGATTAATATTTTTTTTCTGTTAAGAAAAAACTATGTAGCACATCCAAGAAATCCAACTGGAAAGGTCGAACGACAAATTAATAACGAAATGCAGGTGTTGCAAGAATTACAAGCAAAATTAAATGAAAGCAAGTTATTTTCTAAAAATACCAGATTTAAATCCAACTATTTTGAGACATTATCGATGTATGAACAACTCAGTATTATATTGAATACTGATATACTATTGGGTGTGCATGGTGCCGGTCTCACTCATGTTTTGTTTATGAAAAAGAACCGAGGGATAATCGAATTATCGTTGAATACAGGTTTGCATTTTTTTTTCTTGGCACAAGCTCGAAATGTTAATCATTTATATTGTCCTGTACAACAAGACAAAGTGTCAGCAACAGACATCGTGGAATGCATAACGAACATGCTCAGTTTAATTTGTCCATCAAATAAAATTTCTTCTAATACAATAGCGATAACTTCGGTCATTACAACAATAAGTACAACACTGATAACATCTACAACGGTTCTCTCAACATCCAACTCAAAATATTCTAACTCAACGATAAATCAAACTCGACAGATGACCGTCAATGTAACAGCAACAACAACATCTGCCAGTTTAATACTTTAAAACTGACTTAATCAATGTTGTAAAGCAGATGGAAAAAGTTTAGGAAAAAAGATCTACTAGGTTTGAAAAATGCCTGAACGAAGAATGTGTTCCTCCTAGATTGCCGGCCGCTGTCGGGTGGCCCAGATAAAATCGCACACTTTCATTCGTTGTTCATGAGGCATTGTGCGGTAGTCCAGAGAGTTGGTTCTAAGCTCAATCGATAGAGAATTGAATTCTCTACAAAAGTTGCTATTTGAATCTCTGATAACAGTTTTGTCGTTTGTGCACTATTCAAACTATTGAAGAGTGCTGAGTTGCCTAACTACGACACACTGAAAATAGAAACATTATACAAACATAGTACGAAGAGCTTTTTTTAAAATTCCTTTTCCTTGATGAGAAAAACGGCTTTTACTGAAAACCAAAGAGAAACAGCGAGGTAATCTTTGAAAAACCAGGCCGTGTGTTAAAATTTTCAATAGGAGTATATTGATTTTCTTCCATGCTATGATAACCCAAGATATCCTCTTCAAAATGAGGATCAAGTAAGACCTTGGTTTTCCGCGGCTCGGGTGTTGTGTCGGATTTCTTGCGACCGGCACTCGGTGAGTATTGGTAGCCTTGAACACGAATGGACTATAGGTAATATATCGTGCTGAGTCTTGTGGCAATATTTGTTTTTAGAAAAAGTTCTAAAAGTCTACCGAAAAGCGAGTTTTACGAAAAATCTTTTTTTCAGGCTGTTTTCATCTATTAAAAAATTCACTACCCGCTCAATAAACATCAGAACGTGTTCAAGACTTCAGATTAAAGAGTATTTAAGCTATTCTATATCCTATTTATAGGAGATCTTAAAAGAAAGTTTACAAAACCCTAAGGTTTTCCAAAAGGGTTTCTGGAAAACCCATTAACGCAAATATGCTTTTTCGATTTTTTCGATCTTATAATCCCATTTAGAGGAGAAAATCGTCCATATCCTGAAGGTCTGAACTCCTTCCTTGGGCTATCATAGCATGGAAGAAAATCAATATAATCTTATTGAAAATTTTAACAGACGGTCTGGTTTTTCAAAGATTACCTCGCTGTTTCTCTTTGGTTTTATTAACTCACGATTTTATAACAGATATAGAGCAAATTTCAGATTGCATTTACTTTACTTGTTCAGAGATGGGCGGATATCCGAATTATGAATATTCAAGACAGGAAATCGGCCGACATAGCTTGGAAAATACACGTTCGCGGACAATTTTATGTTCTGAAAATTGAATTCATAGTGTAAAAGCTGTAAAAGCATGAAGGTCATAAAAGCTATAAAAGTCAGAAACGCATAAAAGTATAAAAGCATAAAAATCAGAAAAGCTATAAAAGCATAAAGGTCAAGGTAATGGAGCGTGTCGTCAAAAATCAAATACAACCGGACTTTTCTCTTTCTTGTCTTTTCGAACTACTTTCACCAATGAAATTCGAAATTTTTATTTCGTTCTTTTAATCTGAATATAGACTACACAAGTCGACAATCTTGAGATCATTTCTGACGGAATCTTGATTTCAGTACTTTCTTCCTGAGAAATGCATTTTTTTCAGATTTTCAGTCAGAATCTGATGGTGTGTAGTCATACGACCATGGCTCGTACAATCAAAAGCCAGTTGGGTACTCACCAATACACTTGAAATTAACAAAGAGACTCATTTTTGCGGGACTTTTTTTAGTACATATTATAGCTGATATCAGACTTTTTAGAATGTATATTCAGAGTTCTCTAGCCAGAAGCCGTTACTGAGATATCAGTGTTTTTCAAACAATCTCCTGATTCAGACCAGAATGGACTGATCTTGATTTCTTACCAAGAATCAGTG